GGAGCCCAGCTCTCCTACCACCCATGCTACTCAAGTCATCCTATTCAGATTCAGACTTGAGACCATCCAAGAGCTTAGAAGCCTAACTTTCTCTGGAAGGCTGTCAGATCATTGGGCCTCCAGCTCATCCAGGATGCCCAGTAGGCCACTCACTTGGGGGAACTAAAATTGGCCAAATTATCTAGCCTGACTAAAGAAATTAGCCAAAATGCCCACAATGTCTTCAAGTGAACACTATACTGGCCACCACTGATGTTTGAAAGAGACAATGAAGACTTACCCCTGGAGACCACTGAGAGATAGACTTAACTGAAAAGGGTCCAGGAAAAGATGGGCATAAATACCTCTTAGTTCTCATAGCCACACTCACTGGATGGACTGAAAGATTCACCACTTGGACTGAATCAGCTCTCATCATAGCTAAGAAACTCCTGTAAGAGATAGTGTCTCAATTCTGTTTGCCCACCTCCCTGGGGTCCTATCATGGCCTAGCTTTTATAACTCAGATCACTCAAAGTTTAGCTGCAGTTTTAGAAATCAATTTGAAATTACATTATGCCTACTGGCCTCAAAATTCAAGCCAAGTAGGACAAACAAATCCATAAAGGAAACTATTTAAAAATTGGCTCTTGAGACTGGCAAAACCTGGGTAAGTCTGATTCCTTTTGCCCTTCTGTGTGTGCAATGTACCCCTTACCTCCAGATAGGGCCATGTACAGCCAACTGCCCTCTTTGATCTCCCATGTACAACATGATAAGTTGGCTGCTGTCACAAATGGGAAAATTTTTAAGTCCTGATAGCCGCTTTAGCCCTTTCTGCACTTGACTCACTGCTTATTTTGGGGCCACCAGACCATTTCTGAAATATCTGATAACCCGTAGCAGCTCAATCTGGTGATCAAAATTTACATCAAAGGAGACAGCCCACATCCCTAAGCATCCACTGGGAAGGAACCTATACAATCCCCTTGAGTACTGCCATGGTGCTCAAGGTTGCCAGAAAGAGCCATTGGATTCATCACTCCCACTTTGAGCCCACCACACCGGAGACTCCAGCTAAGTGGACTACATATAACTTATATTGAACACAGATTCTAAACACCTCAAACCTTGATTCTAGTTCTTCATGTTGGTGGAGAGAGGGAAGTTCCTCACATTGGGAAACATTCAGGGCTTTGTGTTCAGGCTATATATTTGCCCTTGAAGCACTACCCATTTTGAATCAATTGTAATTCAGCTGTGTATGTACAAAATGTCTCTTACCCCCTCAACCAACATTTAGCCTCCTCACTAGAAACATGGTTTGCCGGTACAAATGGCCTCACCTTTGTGTTTGTCTTGCTCTCTTCACTGGACCTAACCCTGAACTCTGTATCTTAACTCATATTCTTCCTCAAGTGTACTGGTATTCCGGAGAAGGAGGGAGGAAATGTATAGAGTTACCTAAACTCATGAGAAAAAAAGAGGGCTCAAGTTCTAGTTCTTGTCCTTTTAGGATTAGAAGTAACTGGTTCCAAAACACTAAGAACCACAGCCATTATAATGCAAGAACTAAATTACCAGATACTAAGCAAAAAATAGATTGTGATCTAGCACACTTGAACAAAATGCTCATCACCATCTCTAAACTCTCTGGCTGAGATGGTCCTTCAGAACTGGCTACTCTTATTGCAACAGGGGTATCTATGTCTAGCCTTTAATAAATCTTGTTAATTTTAAAAAGTCTTATTCAGCTCAGAAAGTGCCTAGCTGATAGAAAAACTGAGAGACATTATTTACAGAGTTGATATAAAAATTTGTTCTTCACCACCCCATGGCTGATCAACCTACTCTCGGCTCTGGCAGGACTCCTGATTTTCTTCCTGCTGGCCATTATTATTGGCTCTTGAATGATAAACTGTTTAATGCATTATATCCAAAGTGTAATCTAATCTATTAAAATTAATGGCTATACTCCCCAATAAAAGGATCTATGAAATGTAGATACAAAAGATGAATTTAAAAGATGACAGAAATCAAAGATTTGATTCATGCACTAAAACCAGTGGGGAATGTTGTAGCTTGGCATAACTGATGCCATTTTAAGCCCTGCACTTACCTAGTGCCCTGTATTCAGGAAAATGGAATATTACTCAAGGATAAATCCCATGGGAAAAAAAAAAAAACAAAATGAGCTGTATCTACAGGAGAAAAATTAACCCGCTCAACAAAAGAAGCAGGATACAGGTGTCAACCAGAAATTAATGAAAGATTCAAGCTGAATTGTTTCCAACAGGATGTTTTTTGTGATTTTGTCTTTTAGAAACTCTAACTTTCCATTTGCATTCCACTTGTTTGGACCCTGAACTGGATGAGTCTCTATAAGTGTGATCTTGAGCTCAGTTAATTAAATTCCAAATTTATCAAATTGGCTGCTTGGGTTCCTATATTGTTGTTCATGAACTCACTTCAGTTAGAAGTCATGGCCCGAGTGAGCAGCGAGGGAACCATGGAAAACCAGCCAGATCCATGCCATGTTGGAACTTAGGGCACTGGGGAACAAAGAATCCCACCTGACTCCATGGAATGTGGCCTGTGCCTACCAGTGCATGGGCTGAAAATAAAACATCTCACTCCTCCCATTGGCAAATGGGAGCCAGTGGTCTGAGCATCTCATGGGAGGATGACAGTATGCAATTTAGAAAATAATGGGTGATTTCCTTCTACCATCTCTTTGAAGGCAAATATTGTTATCACTTTCTTTCCTTGTTTTGATTAACTGTATTGCTCTATTCAATACTCTTGTTTTGATAGGTTTTATGATATTCTGTATTAGGTTATATTTTTCTATACCTGATTGAAAGAACAACTGTTGTGAAGATAACGAGATATACTATGGTACCTATTACTGTTATTCTGGTAACCTGCCGTGAAATTCTGTACCAGTTTCACTGCATGGTCTCTATTGATTTTGTTCTGCCTTGTTCTATTGTATTTTACTACCTTCAAAATAAAAAAAGAGAAATGGATAGGTATATGGAAATGTGAGTGTGTGTGTGTGTGTGTGTGAGAGAGAGAGAGAGAGAGAGAGAGAGAGAAACAGAGAGGGAGAGGGAGAGAGAGAGAGAGAGAGAGAGAGAGAGAGAATCAGTCGAAGGATGCTTTCTAGTTTGTAAACCCGCTCAAAATTTAAAACACATTTATACTATTTCTAATTTTCAGTACACACAATTCACTAACTGTGTTGCAGGATTGCTATTGCAGAGTGAACGTCAAATTTTACTATCCTATAGCAAATACTCAGGATGGGGAATGCTACTTTAGGGCACGCATACATTTTATGGAAAATGTCCTCTCCTTGAGTGTAGCGCTGTCAAGAATTTTTACAAGAAGAAGTAAATCATGGGGAACTGATCTCACTAGTTATATCATTTTCTCACCCTCTTAGGCAGTCTTCTCAAGTATATCAGTCTTTACAGACTACATATCAACAGTTTTGTGTCTCACTTATGTTAATAAAGCAGTAAAGATAAGCAGATGATACATCCATCAATGATAGGTGATCCATCAATGATAGAAGATGAAATAGTTAAGAAATGGATGGACAGAGTGATACAAAATAGTTAAATTTGAGTTGATACAGGCAGGGAGGACAGAAAATAACAAGGCACAAAGTTAAAAGTTAGATGAGAAGCATGTGAATAATACATTTACAGTATACATATAAATGAAAGCGAAATACACAGAGTTCATGGGTCAATAGAAATATGACAAAGCAGAGATAGATGCAATGAGAATAGATTGAAACATAGACAAATAGTTTAATAGAAAGATGATAGGATGATGTATAGATAATTCTACTAAAATACTTGCCCAGATTCTCTCCATAATACTTAAATTTGTTCATAATTTGAAACTATTAATATACAACTGGTTATATATCTGAACCTGCAGAGATATGATTTGCATCTTAGTGAATTGACACAACAGCATTTTGCCATATCCCCAAATCAGGGTGATCCCAAAGCTCTCTTTTAATTATTTTAAGTGATACCGGAGTCAGAGTTCAGTCCTGGTCCAGTCTTGTCCTCAGACACTCAGGAGAGCCCAGAGATAGCTGGAATCCATATTTCTCTGCGGGGAGGCCCTCGTCTCCTCTCTGGTCTTGACTCTGCTGTGTGTACCTTGCTCTTTCATGGATCCACGGTCAGTTCTCTCACTCTCCCCAAGTCAGCTGACAGATGAGGAAGAAGCGATAAACAGTGTTTACAGATATACTGATGTCAGTTTGCAAAGATGTCCAAATTTCTGAAGTTATTTTAAATATAGATTGTTCACTTTTTAATACAAACAGACATGATATTTAAGACATTTCATGAGGGCTCTTGAGACTCACTACTACTAATGCTAAGTCCTAAAGAATATTGGTCAGGCAGTGTACTATGACTGCAAGATATGTGACAGCATGACGGTCTCTACCATTGAAATAGAATCCACCACAACTTTCTAAGGCATTGCCCTACTTTGGCAAAGGTGGGGAAATCAACAACTCCAGTGACAGATGAACACTCAGATCAACACACACAGTGATTTCCAGTCATTCAGAGTAAATGTCTGCATGAACAGAATTTGATGTGCCCTTCAGGATAAGATACCCTTCAGGTGGAGAGCCGACTTGTAGTTAACAGAGAAATAATTTTCATGCTTAAATATTTCTACATCTAAAAATTATTGAGACTGTAATCACTTGCTCTGTGAAGACAGCTTCATTGAAAATGCGCTGTGCAATCAATAACAAAATTGAGGGAGAAACGAATGAAAGCCTGACTCCACGAAAACATAACACTGTAGGATCAGGGACATAGGGGGCCTCTAGAATCTCTGTCCCTTGACTACTGAAAAAACTCCAGGCTGTCAGCACAGGGCTGAGAAGTTGGTTCCCAAGAGTAGTGTGTGCAGCGTGCCCCCTGCTGGTTCTGAGTTTTTCTGCAGGCAGGTTTATGTCAGGGCTCACACTTGCATCAAATCACTGTGTCTCTTGCACAGTAATAAGTGGCTGTGTCTTCCTCAGTGACAGAGTTCAGTTGGAGGGAGAACTGGTTCTTGCCTGTGTCTCTGGAGATGGAGATGCGGCTCTTAATGGACGGGTTGTAGCCAGTGCCACCATTGTAGGCTATACCTCCCATCACCTCCAGGGTCTTTCCTCGAGGCTGACGGATCCAGCTCCAACCATAACCACTGGTTGTGATGGAGAATCCAGAGACTGAGCAGGTAAGGAACAGGGTCTGTGAGGGCTTCACCAGGCCAGGCCCTGACTCCTGCAGCTGCATCTGGGACAGGACACCTGGAAACAATGAAAACCATCCCATCAGTCACATGATTTGGTAACCTTTCAATGGACTCATGTTTGGTATTAAGGACACTCACCATGGGGACCCATCACCAGGCACAGGAGAAGACCCAGAAGTCTCATCTTGTAGAACACAGCTCTGCCTTCCTGAGAGACCTCAGCCCTGTGTGGTAATGGAGCTGGGTGTTTTACAAACTGTGAACAGATTAGGAATCTAAAGTTGGAGCAGATATTTGCATATACTGAGCACAGTTCCTATATCAAGTAGACACTGAGCTCAGTCTTTGTCTGGTCCTTTTGTGATACTGAGAGGAACCTCCTGCTCTGAATTCCACCTGTGTTTGACTCTGTGATAAGTGAGAAGACAAATTTAGAGGAGGGGAGGAAGCAGGGCAATCTTGTACTCATATTCCTGATCCCAGGAATAGATTACTCCTGGTCCTCCCTTCCTGTTACCCGATTGACTTTCTGCCCTTCCAGGCTGGTTCTCAGGATCAAATTGAGCAAAGCTTCTTTTATGGATCCTGAGTTTTCCTCCTTTTGTTCCATTACTGTTTCTTGAGAGTGTGCTTCACTGTCATTTCTGTTGTCAGGAGATGTACCTCCTACGGTACCTCTAAGACATCCTGCGATCCAAGTCCCACCTAAGCAGAGCCCACAGAAACTGGAAATAAGGCTGTAAGTTCTGTACTTACCTCACAGAGAACTTTCTAATCCTCTGGGTAGAGAAGGAGGCCATATACATTCGTTTTCCTGCACCAACATGACTATGTATCTACTTGGTGTTCATTTCCTTCCCAGATTCAGCTTCTCCTCTTGTCTCTGGAAGTTATTCCTCAACTGAAAAAAATTTATCGCATTATAATTTTAATTTTTGAATTATTATATGTTATGAACACCATGATCATTATAATAATGCCTCTAGAATTCAACGTGAACTCTTGGTCATCATATTTTATCCACATTCTTTTTGATGGCTGGTTTTTGAAGGCAAGAATCACTTTACAGTGCAGGCCATGAGGTTTCCTTTTACCTCACTGGGTAGCAAAGGTTGGCTGCAAATGTCCAGTGATTTACCTGCTTCATCCTCCTGAGTGACAGAATTACAGAACTGTGAATCCATGCCTCATTAAAAACATGTATTTCTGTCTTTTGTTTTTTGAAAACGGATTTCAAGTCCAAGCTTACCTTAGTTTAGATCTTGTGATTCTCTTTCCTCAGGCTTTCATTTTCTGGCCACGTACACAGTGCCAGCATGACTGTTTTGTGGCCTCAGCCTTATTCTTCCAATTGTTCCTAGAAATTTACTTCCACTGCAATGTCTTCAACAGTTATACACCAATCATAACATCTTCAGGATCCATGGCAAACCTGAAAAGGACATTCTTCTCCAAGGAGAGAAAGTTAAGGTCCTTTTAATGAAGTTCTTGCCTTCAGGACTAACAATGGTCATCACATTCTAGAGTTTTGAGGAAAAGACACTCAGAATTAAGAGTCACATAATTGTAACCAAAGAAATGTGGTCAGATCTTGCTTTATTCCAAGAAGTTTTCATGGAAGTCTCTGATGTTTACTTCTAGAATAACATGAAGAATATTTACAGTGTCATTTTCATATCCAGTTCAGAGCACAACAGACATAGTCAGTGAGGCACATATGTCCCTGTCCTTCTGTGCAGAATCCACCTAGGATATGTGCTGTGTCACCATAGGAAATCTCTAGTGATTTCCCTTGGGGAGTTACACAAAGAGTGAGGGAGCCTCCCCATCTCTTAGCAAGTAGCAGTGTTTGTGCCCCATTGAGGCAGACATTTGTCCATCGGTGTGAGCATGGGATATGCGAGCGAGGTGAAAGGTCAAGTCGTTTTCTCAAGTGTAAACTTTGAAGCTTGTGTACCTGCACAGGTCCTCTGTGGTCAGGATGGAGCTCCCTGTGTGAGATCTGTAGCTGTGACTTCCATATTGGCCCCTTTCCTAAGCTTTACCTGTTGTCCTTTGTCCTTAATGGTTTTCCTTGAAATCCTGTGGTAATGCTTTTCTAGCCCATTCATCTATGCTTGCATTTTACTGCTCTATCCCAGATAGAATGCTATTCACACTGTAAAGGAGGATTTTATGCCAGAGCAAATGACTCTGAGGAACAGGTCCTCTGTTTTACTTCAACAGACACAAGCATGGGTCACACCCTGCTCCCCCACCTGACATATGCACTAAATACTGGAAGGTTATGATGTGGATGTCCATGAAGATATATAGGACCTATCACTGTATTTCTCACTCTTTGCTTCACAGACAAACAGCATGGGGTAACCATGTCTTCTCCACCATTACTGTGGTGCACTGAGCTGTGATGCACTGTGCTGCCACAGGTCCAAGGAAATGACACAATGTGAAAACAGAATGAAGCCTACCGAATCCTAGACTAAAAAACCTTCCTCCCTTTAAATGTGATTTATCATTATATTTCTTTTAGGAATAGAAACTTGGCTGATATATTAGTTGTGCACGTAAGACAATATTATGCTTTCCATACATTGAGGGAACATCTCCTTTTAATGTGTAATTTTTCATTTGTTTCATTAATGTTTTATATTTTTCATTACATCACTATGTCATCTTTTTGGTTAAATTGATTTCTAGTCTATTTTATGTAGCAATTGCAGTTTAATTCTCTTACTTTTCCTCATTTTGAGGCAAGGTCTCACTATGCAGTGCAGGCTGGCCTAAAACTCGCTTTGTAGGTCAAGCTGGTCTCCAACTTTGGCAATCTTCCTGCCTTGGCCTTTTGAGTGTTGGCAATACTGGCTTACACTATCATGCCAAGCTTAATTTTCCTATCATTTATATCAAAAACTTCACTAAAGGCATCCAGAAGTGTTGATTTTTGTAGTTTGATTATGTGTTATTTATTTTTCCTGAATTTCTTTTGAGTTTTGTCATTTACGGTGCATCCTTTAAAATTTCTGGATATATATTTATGTCACATGGAATGCAAAGCTTGAATCCCATTTCCCAATGTGAATGTTTTTTTAAAATAAAAATTTATTTTAAAAACGATAAAGCAGAATAAAACCAGTCAAAAAAGCCAGTGTAAAGATACAGGACTTCCAAACATGACAAAATCACCAATAGTTACCCTAATGCCTTTTGATGTTTTCAAAATAGTTGCAGATAACTTCTGAAACAGTGAAAATTAAACAGAACAGAACATAAACAATAAAAAGAAAACAATGAATGCAATAAAGGATTTCAAAATAAGCCAATAGTAAATCCAAAGTTGCTATCATAATATATCTTACTGTCTTTGAAATAGCTGCTCCTACCATTGGATTTGACATAATCAAAACAAAAGAGAATAAAACACAATCCAACAAAACAATGGAAATGCTACAGGACCTAAAAACAAGACCATAGGGAATCAACAATGGCTGCAACCCTCATAAAAAGATCCCCCCTAGATGTCACATTGCATACTGCTATCGTCTGAACTTATGATCAGACCAATGGTGCTAGACCTTCAATGTTAGTGAAACACCAAACATTACAGGCATCTAACTCCATAACTGCATTTCATCTCCATAGCTATCATCACAGCCTGTGTTTCTCCAGATCAGCTGGTCACTTACAGTGAAGGGGGGCGGGATTTGGTGCTTCTTTTTTGCTAGCCCATGCACTGGAAGGGTTGTGGTCTGGCTGTTTTAGTCCGGTGGCAGCCCACAAATGGCACTGTTTCCCAGAGTGGACTTGCTTCCTGGGGTGGCCTTCTCTCTACTGCCCACTCCCTCACCAGTGCATGAATGGCCTGCATGTATAATTCTTTACAGCTCTTTTTTTTCCTTTATAGCATGTTACTTGGCAAACTAAAACACTTCATCTGCAATAGAAGAATTTTATATTTCATTATAAGAGGTCTTGTGTGTTTTTTCCTAAGATGTCACAAGGGAGAGAAGGGAAGCAGGTTCTAATGTGTATGGTTTTAAGTTACTGTTTGTTTCTTTACTTTTCACATGAGAACTTCCGAGGAACATTTAAAAGAAGTCATGGAATTGATTACCTTTACCTGTTTTTCATTTTACAGAGAGAAGTTTCCCTTTTGTCCATTCAATATGGTGTTACCTGATTTTTGGTTCAATATAATTAATAGTATATATTTTCACAGAAATGTCTTTGAGAGATTTTATCACTTATAAGCTGGTGGAGTTAATCATGTTTTATTAAGCATTATTTGATATGAACCTATATTTCTGTTATGTATTGTCTGTGTGGTTTTTAAAATGTTTAATTATTTACTCAGAGTGAACTCCTTTTTGCTTTTCATTTACTTTATTTTGCAACTTGAGAACATACTCATGAATGAAATACATCAGTCTTACATATATAAACATCACAGAGTCTCTCTTGTGTGAGAAACCAAAAAATTAAATAAGATCCAAAAGTAAAACAAAATTGTGAACATGAAAGGCAAAGAAAGTTCCCTTTTTTATTTTGTGAGAAGATCTCATATGTAGCAGCATATCAGGATTCATTGTATTTAATTATTTTCTTAATTTTTCTGTTGCCAAATGAAGTTTTGAGGAAGTTTGAATCTATGTTCAGCAGAGATACTGTCCCTTAGCATCCTTTTGTACTTCTTCCTTTTATTAGCTGGATCATAGCTTCATAAAATGAGTGTGGAAGTGGTGTTTTTCAATTCAATAGTTTCTGAGTTTTGTTTGCCTTCAGAATTTTTATAAGAATCACAGCTTGCAAAATTTTGTGCCAATTCACAATTTGAAGACTTTTTGCTAATTATCCAATGATAAAAATCACATGAGTAATTCATTCTGTTAATTTAAAAAGATACTAACCTAGTAGATGAACTGTGAAATCTCTCACTTGTATCACCATTTTCAAGTACTCTAATGGTCCCACATCCATAATAGTTTGTGCACTGCCTGTAATTTGTATCCTAATTACAGAAAGTGTCATAAAATGCCAAAAATGAAATTATTTTACTAAGCATCAGATTTAGATAAAATCTTTCTATTTTAAGAATCTTATGTGAAACTCTCTTCTTTGCCTGGGGGCCAGACTCCGGCTCCCTGTGGGACCAGTAAGACGAGTGGAGACAGGGAACCCCGCCCTAGACTGCTGAACTGTTTTCTTCACCTGGGGCCCAGGATCCGGCTTCCTGTCAAAATCAGTG